TTGTCCCTAACTAGGTATAAACAGAAGCTTATTAGAGTCTGCAGGGGTGACCGGGGTGGGGAGCAAGAAACGGGTCGCACACATCTGTTGCTCGAACCCGTTTCCCCTTCGGAGGAGGGACGCTTATCTGGTAAGTCATAAGGCATTGTTTAGTATACTCATCATTTCTTTCACCCTTAGTACTATTCCCTTGAACATAAGCAAATATCTTAACTACCAAAATTACTTCATCAGTAAGCATCACTATCCTTAATAATACACTACACTTAATACCAAAACACGCTGAACATGCCAACTTTAATACCATGACATTTTATATTCCTTGAAATATTCCAGTGGGTATCTGTTACTTGAATACTCACTCCTCGTACTAGACATGGACGTGAAGACGGGAGAAGGTCAGGAGTGGCAGCATTACCGAGAGAAGAGCCACGCTTCCCCGACAGGAACAGAACGGGTTCCCTCTGAAAAAAATAAAGTCGCTGTCTCATACCACACCTTAGGGATGTTAGGGTTTATGATCTTGGTACGGACAGCGATGGACAAACAGCTTACCGAGAAAAGCATTAGACTCGCCAATCGTAAGGTGCGTACGTAATCAGTGAAAGAGGGTCAATGTGGAAAGCAAGTGATGCTGTGGTGCGATCCCATAGGTGGGTCTGTTGCCTGGTCGTGCTGAATTCCGTGTGGTGAGGTTGGCGCACATCCATCCGAGTTGTTAAATCAAGATGTGAGTTTCATGGCTCGCCGGATGGGGAGGTCGTCTCTGGAGATACTGAGTCCGCTTTGTTCACAACTCTAGGTTAACGACTGAGTGCGGTGCTCCTTTCGAGTTAGAACATGATCTGGTTGATCTGGTAGAGTTTTGTTTGTACATCCTCATTGATGAAATCACTGGTGGTGAAGCGTAGACGACGTGGTCTGAACTTCAGCTGTTCATGGACCCAATCCAGCCAGCGCACCTCTTCATGCATGAGACTTGGTATTCGCCTACAGCACTATTTACTCAACAACACGGAACACATCTCTGCCTCGTTAAAAGCATCTTCATATGATGTAATCGATACAGCAGCTACTGCCATCATTCAAGAGCAAATACCTCATACGCAACAAAGCTTACGCTCACTCGAAGAATGAAGGCAGAGACTCGAAAAGTGGTATTATGATTATGCATACCAGATAATCCGTATATGATAGTACCACTCAATAGCATCAGCTCACTCACCAATTTTCAATAGTAGTAATGATAGTACTAGGAACACCTCTCCAAGGCGGCGATAGAAAAAGGAGCTTGAAGTGTACACAAAAAGAACTAGCTTGACCACCAAGAACATGCGAGATTCATAACCCTCCCACCGTTACAAAGAGAGCGCCCCTTGAAGAGGAGTTATTGAGCACCACCCTCAGCAGCACCATCTTGATCAGATGTCCAGAGAGTCAGGTTGTCTCTAAGGAGTTGCATGATAAGCGTAGAATCCTTATAGCTATCCTCGCTAACATTATCGAGCTCGGCAATCGCATCTTCGAATGCCTTGCGAGCCATCTTACAAGCCTCTTCAGGCTGGTTTAAGACTTCATAGTAAAATACAGAGTAGTTGAGAGCGAGACCCAAGCGAATAGGATGAGTAACCTGCAACTCAGACTGAGCGATATTAGTCGCATCCTTATAGGCCTGATCAGCAT